ACGAGTTTTAATAACGTTAAAATACAATTTAACAATTTTAAATTATGCATAGTGTCACGTATCGTGGGTGAACAAATCCACAAAGCGTGGATTGCATCATCCAACTTTTTAAACATGTGGGTCTTTTTGCGAACCATCCTTGTCCATACACTGACCTGAGTTGAATTCGTCATTATAATTTATATATATATGTTTCAATGTTATATTTTAGGCATAGAGAAATATTATAAATTTTATGAATACATAGACCTTGACATTATAATATTCCAATTTATATCTGAACTTGACCTTCGCTATGTTATATTATTGTAATTGCCTTACATTGTATGCAAAACATCGGGGCCTTCACATGGGAAATCAACAACCGACCAGACGATAATGTTGTGATATCGTGAATAACGGGTACTATAGTTTATTGAGACCATTTACTAAATAAATACTAGGATAAATAAAACACTAATATTAAAACGTGTAGTGACTCTATTTTACAGAGAGCTCTTCGTGGGGGCTAATAACATACTTATAATTCTTCCGCCTTCATGTCCAAATGATATCATATATGTTTTATTATATTTATGTTTATCATAATTAATTTTAATTACGCCGCTAAAAAGTTACTTCAGCAACTGATTGAAAATTGGAATTATTTGAGCTGAAATGAATGAACGGTCTCCAACTACAACACACATAACATAACATACGTTTGAAGATAGGGGGCGTCATTCTATTCCATTCATCTACTGGAAATGCAGCAGGTGCATTCAAGAGATCGCAGTTTGATTGATAGCCATACTTTTTTTACTTTTTTCATGGGGTTACATACATACATTGAATTTATGCATGGCGCGGGTTCTCTATATCGTGTAATACTTTTATCATTAGCATAGCACACTTCCGGGCGGTTAGACGGAAGTCACTAGGATCTTTTACAGTCTTTTGTTAAATAACATAGAGCTCTTTTTATCTCCATGTTATAAGTGAGTAGACCAATTTGCTGAAAAAAAGAAAAAAAAAAAAACGGGGGAATACTAATCTCACATTTGGACAGCTTGTGTGTGATTATCGTGTTTTTAGTTTCAGTAATGGTTTGGTTTTGCGTGTTAACTGGTTTATTGGGGAATCGCAGATCGACTGCACACCGTGCGAAAACTGGCATATTGAGTTACAGG